CTTGAGGGAGAGTTCGATGATCATGGGCGAGCCGGGCGGCACACCGGAGGCCGTGCAGTCACGAATGGTGTGCACAAACAGCCTCTCCGCAGCCGCGTACTCCTTCTGCATCAGTTTCAGATTGGCCAGCTCAGAGTAGACGCGTGCTCGTCGCTGCAGCCACTGCTCATTGGTTTGTGCCCCGGCGCGAGTTGCCTCGTCGACGGTCAGCAGCAGAGCGTGCAATTGGGCGTCTGCCTCGGCCAGCTTTTGGTCCTTGATGAGACCGAAGGCGGTGTGCATCTGCTCTTTGATACGCTCCTCTAGACTCGGTTCCTGCCGCCGACTAAACGACCAGAAGAGCGCGAGGGCAAACCCGGTGCCCGTGACCAGGTAACTGCGGGGAAAGGTAGCAACTCTTCGGCCTACGACGGGGCGACGAGCTACTGTTTGAAGGTAAACATCTACCGGGTAACTTAGGGGCCTTTAGGGTCCTCGCAAAAAGTAATCTACAGGTTTAGGCTGGCTGTATGGCGCTAACTGATGCGAACTGCCGAAGTCTGCGGGGGACGGCACGAGCCGCTTTTTGAAAGAAACCCGGGAAACACGGTATGTTATTTGAAGAATAGCTGGTTTTGGAACATAAAAGGTGGATTTTATCAGTAAATTTTCGAGACTGGTCTCCTAACTGGTTTTTAAAATAGCGAGAATTTGCAACGAACAATACAAATTTCAAACGGAAAAATCAACAGTGAGAGTTGATTGGAAAGTGTAGTTTCTGCCACTCTGTATTGTGTGACCCTCGTCTCTACCATCGTTATTGGAGATATTCATAAATTCCATCTAACTGTATGTGTCGGTTGATGCCTGAATCTTTGGAGTGCACGGCCTCGAAAATTTACTGATTACATTTACCTTTTTGGCCCCAAAGATTTCTTGGGATGCCTGATTTCCAATTTATACGGTAGGTTATGTTAACCTCCAGTAGACACCAATAAGGCCAGGGTAGTGTAAAAGTAGAGAACTGGTAAGAAGGCTTTTAAGGGTCGAACCCCACCGTGGACAAGCAATGAGAAAAGATTTTTTTAAATTGATCTGCTAGACCTATATAAATACCAACTAAATCGAGAGTGATACTGTAAAAGATTCTTATCAAATTCTTTCGATATCCGGCAATCTTCGCCTTTGGCAAAATTCCGGCTCTATTCCTTAAACAAAATGATCTAACATGCAGTTTTCTTCACTAAAAGTTCTTGTAAGCACCTAATCCGCTTAACAGATCCCAAATAACAAGATCAAATCTACCCTAAACTATCGACTCGAATTTCATCTATGACTTTGCTTGAGTAAGATCACGTGCTGCACATGCCATACTCAAATATTAGAAAGCAGGCATCGCAAGCAATATAATTTGAAAGCAAATAGGTGCTTTGAATAAACATTGGTAACTTAATTGGATAAATGTTTGACGCGTGGGTTGTACCAGGTCGTCATCAGACCTGACAAAATATGCAAAAAAACAGCAAGCATTTTCAATGTGCCCAAACGATCGACACTCATTTGTTGGTTGTGCATCAATAAGCGGCCGCCGCATCGGTATCTACTGATTTAAGCTTGCCTCTTATACTTTTTCCAGAGGCCTTTGTAAGCGACATTCAATTCAATTTGCCGATTGATGCATGATAATGAGGTCTGACGACGACTTGGGAAACCAATATTGAAAATTCACCCAATAAAGTGGTCTACTTTTTAAAGTAGTTACTTGCTTCCAAGAACACTCAACAATATATGTCTTAGGTAATTCATCATCAGGCCTACAGTTACACAGATAATGATAATATAAAAAACTGGCAGGGTTTAGAAGTATCACACTCATCGTCTGCATGCCGCCCGCATGGCGAGGTCAGTGTGTTGTGTTTATTCGGAACTGGAGGAGATAGGATGCCTGTAACAACGTCTTCTGACGGTAGAGTGCACTATTCGTTAGTCAGATAGCCACTGTATGGGTTGTTGACAGCACCCGTTGGCGTAGAAGAGTTGGTCGGTGTATGGTAGACAACCTGATAGGCTTCGCTGGAATCTATTCGGAGATGCTTACTGACTACGTGTGCGATAACAGAACTCGAGACTCGAACAGGTTCACCTTTATCTAAACAGGCAGACATGTGTTTAATTCCCCTCTTTTCAAGACGCTCCCTTCCACGGCCCATATATCTCACTCAATAGAAGCAGATGAATGAGCAAATACTCGGCGATGTGGCCTTTAAGGGAGTCCACTAGCGAATCGAGCGCTATGTTGTAAGACGTCATTTGTGGTGCATGCAAATGATAAATGTCAACGTTAAGACACGTTTGAACCCCGTAAATCGCTCATATTGTCATGAGCTATGAAATCGCAAAGGCCCAATGATGAGGAGAGGTGTTTCTAACTTCTTGACTTTTCAAATTGAACGCGAGGATACTCAAAAAATACTTGCATAAGCCGGAGGACCACGCGCCCTGATAGCCGGGCGGCTGGTGCAGACGTCGAAGCCAAAGGAATAGCCTCTGTTTTGCCATGAGCCGCCTTGTGTCTAAAAGGTGGACCATTACAAAAAATCGAAACAGCGACCACAAAGTTGCAAAAGGCATGTTCTTATCGGGAGGTGTTACAGACAAATACAGGCGTGCAATAGAAAGTGTTGTTGGGGGGGGGGGATCATTAATCTCACGGTGCCCGCAAACAACGTAGACTCCAAATTGTTGGAATTCGAGCAAAGCTGATGACATTGAGCTGCCAAAGCATAACCTATTGTCACAGTTGGCGTCACATTACAACTTAGAAATGCGCTATGATCCGCATCCATCTAGATGCTCATTAAAATAATAATTACTAGTATTATAATGATAACAAAACTCTGACCCTCGCTGACGAATCTTCACTAACTGCCTATATTACTCTAACCACTCTCTAGCTCTTTT